TGTTGACTATGTGTATCCTAGCTATTCAGAGACCGGGTGTATGCTCATTGTATTTGTATCATCTTGATGCTTTATTTTGAGTGAATAAAATCAACCCTTTAAAAAAATCATTGATGTTCCTGCCCTAGCAGGAGAAATAGAGGTTGGAATCACCGTCCCGATCTTTAAGCGCAGAAGAAAATGATTATTTGACCAACGGTTCAAACTGTCAGTCATCAAAAATCAATGCGGGTCCCGGGGAGACCGGCCAAGTCCAAGTTTTCACATATAAGACAGTGACATGTTTGTTTTCCTTTTATTTCGCGAGAACACATTTTTGTTTTCAAGGGGAACAAAAAGCCATAGACATGTATACTAGTCTTTTTTGGAGGCAAGTCGTCGTGAGAACGACCATCCTCGATGTGGAAGTAGTTTAGTGAAGTTTGCATACCATCTTCTTTTTACAAGTATAAAACATACACCAAAATACCTTGACTCACTAACATTTCCAGCCAATCAAATGATTTGCATAGGTCTGGCTCTAATTAAGTGGAGTTGTTTGTTTTAAAAACAAACATATTCCTGAAATATCTGGACTCGGTCTCATTTCCAGCCAATCAAATAAGATGGTTATGTAGCTCAGGATCTATCAATATGTTGAGGGCTAGAAAAGCCGTCTGCACCACTCAAACAGACGCTTGCTGGCTAATGCTTCTTTCAACAGGGATTTGGCCAAATCCATACGAAAAATCACCCAACCACGTGCGCTCTATTAATTTTTTATTCTGTCTTTCATCATTGGAATATTGAGGCGTCAATTTTTTTTTTCTAAGAAAAGTCTCATATGTAGCTATCCGAATGACTGGTGCATTCGCAAGTTGCCTAGGAAATGACAAAATTTGCAAATGAGTTTTGTTATTTTCTGCCCACATGAATGTCTTGGAAAAATAGATATTATCACAGATTTGCAGTTCACTTAACACATTTTCGAAGACGGCCTCAGACACCTTAGCCTTAGCGAGTGGTATAGATGTGTACACTTGGCCTACTCCTGCATGGTAGCGCATAACTGCATAAGTACACCACTGGAATTAGGTAACTGTAGCGACAAGTCAATCCATCCTGTCCTGCCATACATAATGCTAAGCAGCTGCGTATCCATTGCGGCAGCGGTGCTGCTGCTGCTAATCTCGGCACCGGCGGCCGCAGCAGGGCCTCCGCCGATGACCATAGGGATGCCGGGCTGCAACACCACCTGCGGCAACGTGAGCGTGCCCTACCCATTCGGCATGGGCCGGAAGAGTTGCTACTGGCCGGGGTTCAAGCTCACCTGCAACAACAACGGAAGCAAGCCCCCGCGGCTGCTCCTCGGTGAGGGCAGTGGTGGCGTGTTCGAGGTCGTCGATATCTCCCTGAAGAACAGCACGATGCGCGTCGTCAATCATGGACTGCGAGCCATCAACATGAGCGACGGCTCCGGCCAGTGGATCATAGGTGACGCTGAGACCGTCGGCGCCGGTGGGGTGGCCTACCTGCTGAACCCGGGGTCCAATGAGTTCATATTGACGGGCTGCAATGTGCAAGCAACGTTGCTGGGGAACGGGAGCCTCGCCAGCGGCTGCGCTTCTTTCTGCCCCGATTTTGGTGATGGCATTAGCGCTACCCAAACTTATGAAAGGGGAAATTCCAAAGCATGCTCCAACATCGGCTGCTGCCAGTCCACCATCCAAACTGCCAGCGCGTCTTACGGCGTGGAGCTCAAGCAGCTCAACTACAGCAGCGTGTACAGCAATTTTGGTTCCCCCGTGAACGTGCTCATCGCCGAGGTTGGCTGGTTCGACCTAGACCACAACCTGGCGGTGGTCATGAACGTGGATTGGGGGGCAAAAAAAAATCTCTCACGGGAGGCTGATCAGCTCAGGGTCCCCGTGATTCTCGGGTGGGCGTTAGCACACAACACAGCAGTATATAACACTTCGCGTTGCCCTCACGACGCAGCCCGGAGCATCTGCAAGAGTACCAACAGCAATTGCAGCGTCGGAAACACAATTGAGGAAATCAGAGGCTATTCGTGCCACTGCCAGGAGGGCTACGACGGCAACCCTTACCTCACAGGAGGATGCCAAGGTGAGTTTACAACTTGACATGCGAGTTACGTAAACTTGATTCTATTTTTGCCTGATTTGATCAGACAATGTATATGCAGATATCAAAGAGTGCAATCAGAAAGAAAAACATTTCTGCTTCGGCGTCTGCGAGGAACTATCCGGCTCCTTCCGGTGCCGCTGCCCGAATGGAACGCATGGAAATTACACCAAGCCCGGTGGCTGCATCATCGACTCTGTGGACACAATCCGAGGTACACTAGCGTGTTGATTACTAGTGCGTGCAACAGGAAACAATCAAACAGTTAATGTTAATTAGTTAGTTATCTCGTTCCACCTAAGAGTGAAATGCGTCACTAGTCCAACAATTCGGAAATTGATCGATTTCAGCCATAAAATTGTTTATTTGATCAAATAAGGCGAAAACTGACCCGAGAGGAAAAAACTGGCCATGTGCCTGCATTGTCAGCCTCCCTTATTCCGCTAGTGAACTAACCATTTTTTTTGGCCGAAAATGGTTACCCCGCTTTGTATGCAAAGCAACCAACCGAGACAAGCAATTGATAGGTGTTGGGGCGGAAGCAGCACAATCACGCCCAAAATAAACGAAAGAGAAAATACAAGAAAAAGAAATGCCGACAACGGCGGATCGACAAAAACGAAGAAGCATCGCAACCGCTGCGTCCACCGAAGATCGCCCACCAAGCTCCGAGACTCCGAAGCGCCGGCACCAATCAACACCTACAAAAAGGAACACGACACGGCTGCCAAGGGTTTCCCTCGGTACGCGGTGAGGAGAGAAGAAGGGTAGCCCCGATGCCCTCCAGGAAGGTCCAGCGGCACCCTCAGGCGCCACCGCGTTGGTGTCAGCCAAGCCAACAGGGATTTCTCCCTATCCCAACCTCCACCTCAGGCACTCCTGATCTCGCCACCAAGCCGACCACCAACCTGCGCCAACCTGGTCATGAAGCTCCCCACGCTGTCTCACCACGACACCGCGAAGCATGGCCTGCACAATGAAGAAGAGGAGCCGGGACTAGCGCAGCAGGACCTTCGGCATGCAGGAGGCCCCACCTCCACCGTCAACGACGGTAGCTGACCGGACGCAATAGCATGAACATACCAGGCCCGTGGCCGCACAGGACCGGGCGGGCTCTCGGAAGCCCGTAAAGTTCCCCGCCTTCGCGCTGCAGCCGGCACGCCATCGACGTCGCCGCCCCTGTCCAAGCCTCTCCCCTGCTTCCCGCACAGAGGGCGACCAGGCTGCACCGGAGCTGGCCCGCTAGGACCCAGATGGGGCCCTACGGGCCCAGATCTGGGACGGGTCACGGCACTGGCCACCCAGCACCACCGGACCGCCCTGCCGCCAAGTGGAGGCACCACGATAGCGCGCGCCGCCGGTCGCCGCCACCAGGACGCCGGACCACCACCCGGAGTCGCGCCGCCATGAGCAGCCGCCGCCACCGGAACCATTGTCGGCCGAGGAGCACCGCCGCGGGACGTCAGCACCCAAGCCATGGCACCGCGCGCGGTGAAGGAAAGGCCACCGTCGCCGCCAACGCCACGTGAGCAGGGCCCGATGGCGCAGGCCGGCGGCGGCGGGACGAGGGGAAGGAAAGGGGAGCACTGGGAGGCGGGGAGAGGGGCCCCGGTGGGGAGGGGGAGGGGGCGGCGGGGCGCGGCACGGCGCGCGCGGCCGGCGTCCGGAGGCGCAAGAGGGGAAGGCGGCCGGCGGCGGCGGCGGGGGCGAGAGGAGGAAACCTAGGTCGCTTGGGGGAGGCCTGCTTGGAGTCTTAATCATTTTTTTAGGAGATCTATGTGCAAGGTGACTGTTTTTTTTCCTTACAAACCATGCTAACCACATCTGTGGAGAAAAAGTATATTTGTGTTGCCAAGAATTGAACACAACTGCTTTAGCAACATCGCCATGTTTGCGAACTAAGACGAAGCCCACTCCATATATTAACTGAATATATACAAATGCTTTCCTAAATTCACAAGATCCTTTCCTAGACCCACACATTAATTTGAGGAGCGGCCTTATAGCCAAGAGAAGGAAAGTGGATTTAGGAATGGAACTTTAAGAAAGGATCCACGTGATCACGTGGATTTTGGAAAGGATTTGTATTCCATTAATATCAAAGGTATCATCATTCTAATAAAGAATGGATTGCATCTTAGTACATATGTTGATTGATGTTGCGATGGTTAGCGAGTTGCTCGGCAGCCCCAAAGGGCTTCTGTTCGATTCTCGACAACGCTAGTTCATTATAATATATGTGTACTTCTTCTCAATATACATTCCGTTAGCATGGTTTATGAGAAAAATTGGCCACTTTGCACATAGACCCCCGTGAAACGTAAGAAATGCTTAATTCATGAAGGCAGGCTGACATGGCAGCTCCGTACCCGGTTTTTCCCTTCTCGGATCAGTTTTGGCCTTATTTGATCAAATTAACAAGTTAATGGCCTAAATCGATCAATTCTGAGTTGTTGGCCTAAAATCTGCATTCGGTTTGAGTTAGTGGACTAATGGTGCATTTCACTCTTTCATCTACTCCCTCCGTTCGGAATTACTTGTCGCAGAAATGGATGTATCTAGATGTATTTTAGTTCTATACACATCCATTTCCGAGACAAGTAATTCCGAACGGAGGGAGTAGTATATATGGTTGAGCAAATAGTACTAGCAGTAAACGTGTGAATTGCTTTTCAGGTAACCATAACTTGGGTTCAGTCATTGGTCTCTCAGTCGCTAGTGGCCCATTTATTCTACTTTTGGTTCTTGGTGCACTTCTAATAACCCGTGGATTTAAGCAACACAAGGCGAAGGCGTTGCGACAGAAGTTCTTTAGTCAAAACCGTGGTCAGCTGTTAAAGCAATTGGTATCTCATAGGGCTGACATCGCAGAGAGGATGCTCATCTCTTTAGAGGAGCTAGAGAAGGCTACCAACAATTTCGATCAAGCCCGCAAGCTCGGTGGAGGCGGGCATGGCACTGTCTACAAAGGGATCATGTTAGACCTGCATGTTGTGGCCATCAAGAAGTCAAATATTGTTGTCAAAAGAGAAATTGACGAGTTCATAAATGAGGTTGCCATACTCTCACAGATCAACCATAGAAATATTGTGAAGCTCCGTGGATGTTGCCTCGAGACAGAAGTCCCTTTACTAGCTTACGAGTTCATTTCGAACGGAACACTCGCTGATCATCTTCACACGGAAGAACGAGGATCGCTACCTTGGAAAGATAGGTTAAGGATCACAAGTGAAACAGGGAAAGCTCTTGCTTACCTTCACTCAGCTATTTCAGTCCCTGTAATACATAGAGATATCAAACCCTCCAACATACTTCTTGACGATGCCTTGACAGCAAAAGTGTCAGACTTTGGAGCTTCAAGGTACATTATTCCCTTGGATCAAACAGGAACAACAACTGCGGTGCAAGGAACTATAGGGTACTTAGATCCTATGTATTATTATAATGGACGCCTCACGGAAAGTAGTGATGTTTATAGCTTTGGAGTCCTTCTTGTCGAATTGCTTACTAGGAGGAAGCCATCTGTGTATAGATCTTCCGAGGGTGATGGGCTTGTCATGCAATTTGTTGCACTACATGCAGAAGGTGAATTGGACAAAATACTAGACCCACAAGTTATAGAGGAAGGGGGCAGCGAAGTGAAAGAAGTTGCTACTCTAGCCGTGGAGTGCCTAAAACTAAGAGCAGATGAGCGGCCAACCATGAGGCAAGTAGAGATGGCGCTTGAAGCTCTCCAAACACCCAAGAAGCGGGTCAGGGATAATTTGACAGAAGAAACAGATGAGAAGGAATATGCAGCAACGGGCTTTCCATCGACCAGCCAACAAGCAAAGACAAACGAAGCAAGCAGGTGTTATATCCAAGAAGAAGAGTTCCTGTTGTCCGCTGCATACCCTCGATAGTTTTGCGTGCTTGTAAGTGAATTGTTAGCCATGGTGCGTTCTTTCTGTTACTGTAAATCAGTGCGTTTTTCTGTATGAACATATGTGCCCAACTAAGCTTACGTGTATTATTTACAAAAAAACTGAATGCACCCGACTATTGTTCTAATTTTGGATGCTTATCGCGGTCTAAGTCTTGATAATCATCTATATATTCATCCTACATAAGTTCCGCACTTACTCATGAGACTGGCCAATACACTATCCATCATTTTGTTGCACATATACATATTGATGGGTCGATCCTTGTCTCCGGTACAAATTGTGCAACTTGCAGTAGTAGAAGCAAGGCAGCCGCTGGGGTGTTGTGCATCTTACTTAACCATTGAACCCTGCGATGTCATTCGATATCACAGTATCGTCTTCTGAGTTCTGAACATTGAACTGCACAGCCCAAGATGCAGACTATATCAACACTACGGTAATGCAACAATTGGTTTCGTCTCCACTCGGAAATTGGAATTAAAGCAAGAGCTGCACATGCATGCATGCTGGTTCTCTCGGTGACTCGAGCGTGTGATGAGCAGGGACTGGTGATGAGCGTGTGATGAGCAGTCTTAGCAAATACAATACTACTCCCTACATGCGGGCCCATGCAGATGGTAAAGGTTTTAACTCTCAACGGCTAACAACGTACTCTGTGTATCTTTGACTTTTTTTTCTCGAATATGCACGAGTGTGCATATCATATATCAAAGAAGAAAGGCAAAGAGTGCCTCCGCCATAGTTTTCCAAATGTCTCAATACAACACTACTCCTCAATCCTCATAACACTACTCCTCAATCCTCATTACTCGCCAATGTTCTAAATAGCGGGCTATGGAAAATAGCGGCAGGCCTCCAAATCAGCTATAGCGGAGCTATAGTGGGCTAAAGCGTGCTATTTATGAAGGCGATCATTTAGCGGCACCCTGCTGAAAAGGCTATTTAAAACTATGCTACTCGCCCACCTCTCTAATCTACAGAAGAAGGGGTCAACATTCCATTTAAACTTGCCGGCTACTGACCATACCATGCCTTCGGACCTCACCCTTCGTAAAAGTAACTCCAATGAGGGAGATGCCCCATCAAACACGATAGCATTTCGATACTTCTATAGTTCCCAAATCATTCAAATGCACTAACGACTTTAGTATTTCTGACTGAAAATAGAGTTTTTGTCATGTTGGTCTCGTCCCCCCGACTAGCGAACCCCTGCTTCTCCACTGGCTGTCACCCGTGTGAGTGTGATCAGTGTCGTCCTCGCCACCGGCAAGGCCCTAGCTAGCCCTTGGCAGCGCCATCCCCGTCTCAAGATCGGTCGCTGTCTAACCCGAGAGGCTGTCAATATTAAAAGGCTGACACATATTCATTTATTCTGTACATTCATCGTAGATGGTGAATAATTGATTGAGCACCCACACTATATCCTTATAGAAAGGAACATATTTCAGAGGCATGTCCCACAGAGAATTGACAATATTTGCCACAAGAGTATGGTAACCCTTGTTTTCAAGCCGTTCGTAAATCATAGGCTTGAGAGATATCGGGAACAAATTTACCAGTGATGCACTCTTGTAGATACTCGGAGGAACAGCCGCATCACGAAATCAGTCGCTGTGGTTGTCATGCTGTTGGGAACCGCCTACGGGAGGGTCATGGGAACCTGAAGCCTGATCTTTCGCTCTACGTTCCCATGAGGATGGACGATTCATAGGAACGGACGCGGGACCAGACCTTGCCGCCCTAATATGTGCCTGTGCCCATCAATCGTCGTTTCAATTGTTTAATTATGTGGAGCTATAGAAGCCGGTGGCTTCTAGTTTCCATATGTTCGTGTGTTAGCTTTAGCTAGCTATTCTCCGGCAGGATCGATCTTCGCAGCGTTAAAACACTCTTATATTATAGGATGGGGGGAGTAGATTAGTACGTAGAGTTCTCTCAAACATCAGTCCCCTGCCAGGTTGCTTGGAAGCCAGCTTGCACACACGCATGTGTTTTTCGGTCTCGACCAACATGTATTTTTCGGTCTCGACCAAAAGTATCGACCGACTTTTTTTTCACGAATACACAAAGATTGTGTATCATGCCATTGATAGGTAGGAGAGAACATTACATAGAGAAGCGAGGAAGGACACCAAACCAAATGTCGGACAATGAAAAAAAAAGTGAAGCAACACATCCCTCAACTAGCCTAGCTCGAACTCCAACCAAGAAAGGTGAGGAGACAAGATACAGGGCGCCAAGGCCGTGTCATGACCAATGAGAGGCACCTATGACACATGGCAATGACCGAGGAACCACTAGTAGAAAAGGGGCCAATGGTCCAGGCCGGTCCAGCCCATTAGTCCCGGTTCAATCCAGAACCGGGACCAATGGGGGCATCGGACCCGGTTCGTGAGCGCCGGGGGCCGGCCGGGCCACGTGGGCCATTGGTCCCGGTTCGTCTGGACCTATTGGTCCCGGTTGGTGGGAGGAACCGGGACCAATGGTCCTCGCTCCTGGCCCAAAACCATTGGTCCCGGTTGGTGGCTTGAACAGGGACCAAAGGCTTCCCATTAGTACCGGTTCGAGCCATCAACCGAGACTAAATGGTTGGTACCCGTTGCGACCAGAGTTTAGTCCCACCTCGCCAACCGAAGGTGAACGGGACTGGTTTATAAGCCCCTCCTTCTCTACCTTATTGAGCTCCTCCGATAATGAAAATAGATGCGCTTATATAGGTAATTTAGCATAAATTCATACGGATTTCTCTTGAAATTCGTTATGAATTTAAGTTGAATTTCCTCTATAAGCGCATCTGTACTCATTTCTGAGTAGTTTTTTTTCTTTTTCTGCTATATTTATTTTTTCTTTTTATTTCTGAGTTGTAATAAGCCATTAAAAATAAGCATATATGCTCCTTTTTTAGTACAGTTAATCACAACTATTTTTTGCTTCTATTAATTTCTGAGTAGTTTTTTATATAGTATTTTTTTCTGCTATATTATTTTTTCTTTTTATTTCTGAGTTGTAATAAGCCATTAAAAATAAGCATATATGCTCCTTTTTTAGTATAGTTAATCACAACTATTTTTTTCTTCTATTCATTTCTGAGTAGTTTTTTATATA